AGCCAATCAAAATGCAGGATTTGCATTAGTCCACTGGTTGCGTGATACTAATGTGGTTTAGTAAAAGGTTGAAACGTCCAAAATGTCGTTATCGAGGTCGACCCTAGTTTTGACGTGTTTTTAATTAGGTCATTAAACATTTTATAAATAGACACATTTATTTATGGTTAACTTCACACTACCGCCTGCACATTAGCATTTAGCTGTCGTGATAACATTGAGTCATCGGAACGTCTTTTAACTTTTTCATGGATATTTTTGTAAAATTTATATGCAAAATGATAATACTGGATGACGATACGCCAGACGTCGTTTTTGTCTATTATTATTATTATTATTATTATTATTATTATTATTGTTGCTGTTGTTGTTGTTGTCGTCATTATTATTATTATTATTATTATTATTATTATTATTATTTTAGAAATCCCCGATTTCTTGTCACCCGAAGAAGCTGATCACATCATTGATGTGGCTTATGGTGTTGGTTTCTCCAAAAGCGATATTCATCTGGACCCAGTGGCTAAAGATCACGCAAAGACATTGAGATCAACCGAAGGTAACAACCGTTTTAATTCTTAATCAAAAGAAACAGTGGCATAGAAAGATCGATTAGTGGTTAACTCAATAGTGATTAACTGGGTCTCCTTGTTCTTCTTTATTCTTTGAAGGTCACTCGAACAGCTCAGCTGGTTATTTTTTGAATTGGGATTTCGACAAAGATTACGAAATAACAAAAGACGAGGTGAGCGTGATATCCATTTTCTCTTAAATTTTCTGTTGTTTTCCAGTTTGTTTTTCTATCCAGTCAGTGGAAGGCAAATTCAAATGTCAACTACGACGCTAACGTAAATTACATCATTCGTAAAAGTCGCGGTGAGGACTTGTTTCTGATTGGTCAAGAAATGAAGCATTTGTATTTCGATTGGCTGGTGCATGCATTGCGTATTACATCTCTTGCACCAATCAGAAAGTTTGGCAAAGCCGACACACCAATCAGCTGACCTATCGTACACAACATGGCTTACAGTTAAGAAAACGGAATGTTTGTCGTAATTAATTGGGTGGTGGAAGAACTCTTTAAACAAATGGGCACTTTTGTAGCAATGCAACCAGGTATGTACACGGTGCTAATTCCGTGTAACTAGGAGGTAAGCACTGGGAAAGTTAAACTTGCTCAGTTGAAGTCGTTTAGGTTTGAAGGCTGTTACATTCGTTTGCCATGCAACACGGCAGATTTTGCACCAAGTGACCGGTAACGTCGCTGCCAAAAAGTTATCACTGAACTTATAATCTGTCCAATTTTATTCCTCCGTTTCGCAGGCGATGACCTTTGCCAAGAAGTTTAAATATCTTTACTTGTCTCCGGTGGAAGTAGATGAGATGTGAGTTTTCATTATACCTTCATTTGCTATTACTGGTCATTTCTGATAGGCTAAAAGTAGCAATAAAATAACCACACCTTTTCTTGCAGGATAAAGAATTTGGATCTTAAAGAATTTGACGATGGTAAGAATAGGTGATAGGACGTTTTTCTTAATCAAACTCTAGAGGATCAGGTTTTTGATAATGATCAGCATCTATTTTCCCCTACAGTATAAATGCAATGAGTGCCGTGCACGCAGGCGATGAGGAGATAATTATTGATCACCAAGTAATGAAAGGGTCCACAGGCATTTTAATGAGAGCATAGTGCGTCAGGTTGCAATATGGCGGTTTAGCATATGGCTAGCTCCATGAGCGGGCAAGTTGAGCAGAATCCTGCATCAGTGATTGGCTACCCGCAAGATGGCGCTAACTTTGCCAGCTCGGGAACACCCGATGTGTCCCACAAGAAAACAGTGTTCTTTTTCCATATAATAAACCCTTTATTGACCAAGTTTGTTCGATCAAGATGGTTGGATATTGGCCACGTTCGTTGGCCACGACTCCATTAACAAGCAGAAAAATGAACTTGGCCAAAATCAAGCCGTCTTGATCTCACGCTTGGTCAATAACCCATATATGCTAAATTTACTTAGCGGGTGGAATGACGCCGAACT